GTGGGCTGAAACAACCAGAGCAAATGGCAGAGTATCACCACTAACTCCAGTGCGTGCTGACTGTTTTGTTTCTCAGTCTAAGTGTTCCCCACCTCTGCAAAACAAAGGCGGCCTAAATCCTCCTCACCTGCAGCTGGCCACAAAGCCAACTTCCATTTTTAAATACCTAATCTAGAGCTTATTAGCCTGATTTTGGAGAACTCTAACATGTTCTCCAAGACAACCCTTTGAGAAAGCCTGGGAATTCAAGGCACTGCCTGGCTCTCGCAATCAGCTGGGGCACCTGTGCTAAAAGTCCTGCAACAGGAGAGAGGCTGGGTTTGTACCAAACACTTGCTCATGTGGAGGAAATTCAACTGCTTCCACATGATTTTTGCAAAGGATATATAGCAGGACAGGGTGATGGAAGTGAGGGCAAAGGTTTTCTGTGATTTTATCTGATTGCATTTAAAACTCTGATACCTTAAAAAATGAATCTGAAAAGACATATAGAATCATAGAATAATAGAATCCCAGAGTGGTTTGAGTTGGAAGGAGCCTTAAAACTCATCCAGTTCCACCCTCTGACACAGGCAGGGACACTTTCAACTAGATCAGGTTGCTTCATGCCCCATTCAACCTGGCCATGAACACTGTCAGGGATGGGGCAGCCACAGCTTCTCTGGGCACCCTGTGCCAGCACCTCAGCACCCTCACAGTAATTTTTTTCCTTGTATCTAACCTAAATCTACCCTCTTTCAGTTTAAAGCTCTTCCCCCTTGGACCAAAACTCCTAAAGTAAAGGGATAATATTACTCAAGTCTTCCAGCCATCGTTGCATTAAGAACTACTTGGGACCCACACCCTGGACACAGGCATAGGTTGCTCATCCCTGTCTCACGAAGCCTTGCTCAGAGCTCCACAGATCTGCAGGCAGTGGCACTATTCCCATCGAGCAGAAGGTGTGGCAACTGTTAGAAGCTCTCTGTGCTGCACAGCAACTGAAATTTCAGAGTGATGCATCACAGCGCTCGTCTGAGAACAAATATATTTAGTTGGCATGGAAACAGTAAGTTAGGCTGGATGCGGTAAATATCCAGCAGTCATAAAAAATTGAGCAAGTCAGAATAATAAACATAAAGCACACAAACTCACAGAATGCTTTTGAATTGCAGCTCTTTTACAATTATCACTCCTGTTTGCATTTGAACACGAGTGAAAGCCACTTAACAAACTAAGCCGCCCCATTTTATCCCAAACAGTTCTACAACATCCTTATTCAGATAACTCCTTTCTCCCATTTTTACAAGGGAGATAACTCGCTTATATTCTGATAACTCCCTTTCTATTTAAGGAAAAGAAGAAATTAAAGGGTTGGAAATCCACATTGGTATTCTCCTTCATTTCCGCAGTAATATTCATGCATTGAATGAACATAATTGATTTTCTGTCTTCACAGAATCTCTCTCCTTTAAGACTCTATTTGTGACTTGACTGCTTGGAGGAGTATTCCTATGGTATGAGTATCTATGGTGTTGCTACTTCAGTTGTATGCGAACAGCAGGATCTTTTCCTCCTCTATTAATCCCAATCAGAAATTGTACATCCTACTCAATCCACCTCTATAGTTAAAAACATTAGAACAAGTAAGGAAAAGAATAGGGTCTTCTTCTGAAAAGCTCCTTGCATGTAATTCTCAAAAGAGAGATTTCTGGAGCTTTTCAGTGTCCGGTGCTGGGGTGACTACCTGAAATAAAAAGAGGTGTTCTAAAGAAACCTAGGTAATAAAGCAGAAAGATCACTACCATGGAGTTTTGTAGAGACCCCAGTTCAGCAGAATTTGTTGCCCATGCCTCAGTTCCCAGCTTAAGCGCTCGGTGATGTGCGTCATTTTTAATTGCACCTTCACAGGATGTACAGTCTGCCGCAGGAACAATGAGGATTTTTTACCTATGACTGACAACTGCACAAAGCCGCGTGACTCAAGAAAGAGAAGTGGTTTCAGTGCAACGAAAGCACCTTCTATCAGAACTCTTGTCTTTGATCTAGGTATGTATCAGAGACAAGCAAGTGATACAGTACAAGAGTGTAACGATGCAGGAACAGAACCTAAATGGGATTAGTTGATGGGAAGGTGGTTCCCAGAGTTACAAAATACTGAGATACAAGAAACTTCAAGCACTGCTCTGAAAGGAAAAGGTTTGGACACACCCGAATTTCCTAAGAACCTTCCCAGACTGCTTTTACTGTCATGGAGCTATATATATATAACCTATATATAAACTCCTATATATTAAGTGTGAATTACACTGAATTTACTGCTAGTTTGCCACTTCCCATGAATACAATTATGTATGTCTCAAGAAGGTGGACGTCTAAGTTTTGAAGGAAACATCTAGCATTTAGACATGAAGGAAACTGATACAGTTCTGAGATGCCAATTTAGAAGTGTAGCATTACTGAACACACGGACTGTTGTCCTGGACAGCCACATTTAGCACAGACAGGACAACCTTTATGGAAAAGATAACATTATTTAAGGTCAGTCATAGCGGGAGAGGTTTGCAGGCACTTTTGACAAATGTACATTCATTTGGATTGGAACTCATCATTCAGATAACGCTGCCAGACTGATGAAACAACACAGATACAACACGATTGCATCTGCTCACACTGTAAAGAGGACTGAGAGAGTAAACAGGAGTAAAACCAAGTTCATGCAAGAACATGAAGTACTGGAATGAAAGAGCTCCATAAAAACAACAGCGCCACACTCGCCTCTAGACAGCTCAGGGCTTGCCATCAGACTCCTTCTAACATATTTCTCCCCTCTTCTTTACAGCATAGTTTGTCTCTCTGGGTAATTACAGTAAAGAAAGGTTAACTCCGTGCAATCACTAGAGGGTTATTGTAACAAAGAGTTAAGCTTCGTGGATCTGTCAGTCACTCTTTGAGACTCAAGAGTTATAAGGACATTGCACTGAAAGAAAGACAAACATGGAGCACTAAGATACCACCCAACAAGCCATAACGAGAAACAGCTTCTTACTTTTAATTAAAAGCACAACAAAATGTTTTTTCATGTCTCATTCATTTGTTTGTTGTTGTTACAGAATCAAAACACAAGATTTTTCCTTTTAATGAAAACCAGAAACCGTTTAACCCTCTCTCCTCCTTATTTACAGACACAGAAAAGCTCAGAGCAGTGGCCTTTGTAATAGCCCTAGCACAGATTTTGATGTTTTATGCAATTCTGCTCCAGACAATATTTGGTAGAAACAGAAAGCAAGCTCTCAGTCACAGCCTTAAATATTTCAGCTCCCTGATGGGCTGACAAGTCGTTAGCTACTGTTAATACTTGATGAACATGTTTACAGGTAGCCTGGCCAAGACATAACAACTGGAAATATGTCAGAGCTGTCATTTTCCCATTTTTCTTCTGGAGAGATAAGCATAACTGATGAATTAACCAGGCCCACAGAAGACACACAAACAAATTGCAACATATTTGTCTGCAAAATAGACCAAAGCCCCCTAAACAAAAACATCCTCAATGGCTCCAGCTTCGGAAAGTCCCAACAGATGAATGGCAGAGACAAGACTGTTGACAAACATAGATAGGAGCGTCAGCATAAGTCTGCTAAACATCCACCTTGCAGGAGAAGCTCTAAGCTGGACCATGCAGTGTCATTCAAATAACATTTCTGTTCTATTTATACCGGGGAATGGACCAGCTGAGCCAGTCCTTCAGTAACTTAGTGTGGGCAGGATAGTCCTGTAGGTTGTTTTGGACCATGTGCTCAGAGAAAACCTTCAAGGCAGAAAGCAGGGACCATCCTGCATGTCCAACCTTCTACCTCTGTATTTCACAAGTCATTTTTTGTTTCTTCTTCTGGATACTTTCTCAAAATGGTCAGAAAAAGAAGCAAAATGGAAGTAGCAAAGGTAAAAGAAAACCAGAGATTTGGAAGAGGACCCTCCTAGCGTGCAGGCCAGGGCTGCTCCCTGGGAGGGAGGGACAACCATGCCCCAAATAGCTAATTTTCCTTCTTCTTTTCCAGGAGACTCTTTGAAGCCAAACGCAATGCTTGTGGGCCAACTCACTCATTACACTGAATTCCTTCGATCCTGCAAGCACTGCAGCTAAGGGTGAACCTGGCCCAGCATCTGGATTTGGGAGGCAGAGGGGGAGGAGAGCAGAATCACCAGCTCTCCTGAAGATACATGACCATAAACACCAAGGGTGAATGAAGGTTCCCATGTGCAAGTGGGATGACAACAACCAGCAAAAAAATACTTCAAACTAATGATTATTACTTTCTACAACCACCCCAACTTACTATTCCTGCAGGTATAGATTTAGAAGTGCTTTAGATAGGATGTAAGTTACAGATACTGTTTACTCAGCACCAAATAAGTTCTCAAATGCTGCAGAAACTGACTTACATTACAAATCTGGAAATTCATACGTGATTCAGACAGCCACCACCTGTATATTTTCCAGAATGCTTCAAATCACTCTGTTTTGAATGCAGATCATTGATTTTCAGTTTCAACACTCGTCTGTAAACTACATACACTATTTCGCTTAAAGCACACTAAATCTCTGATTCCACTGAAAGTATCCAGAATAATTTTAGCGCTATTAATCATATGGAACTGTTTACAGACAACATGCTGGGACAATGAGTTCATAAGATCAGGAATAAAGATTATTCTAGCTCAGTTATCATCCAATTATAATTCTCTTCATACAAGCCATTAAACAACAGGTTAGGATACTCTCAGAAACCTCTATTAAAACAGTATAGACAGTTCAGAATAAATGCATCATTTAACAGCTAGGATAGTTGAAATACCAACTTGAAACAGAGAGCATAAGTATTTGCCTGCAGGGTTCAGACAGTTTAATTCTGTTTTATTACATAAAAAACTAGTGGTTTTGCTTTGAAGCAAGATATTGTTTTTAAACATTGAACTCCTTGCCCAAGGGAAGAGGATGGGGGGACAGCACTGGGTACCTGCTCATGGGTCTCCAGCTCCCTGCATTGCAGCTTCTTCTCTGCAGCCCGTGCCAGACTGCGGTAACTTTCCACTTCATCTTCTAAGGCCTGAAACAATACCAAGGGATGCAGAACACACGTGAGAAATGTGGGCTGGCAGAAAAACTTGTAGGTAATGTCTTTCAATGAGCTGATTAAGAAAGCAGTGCAGAATCAGTGCAGCTCTTTAGCTGCTGTTGCTTCCAGCTGTACGTGATAGCTGCTGAGATGCGACAGACGCAGTTGACCCTTGTTGAGTAAAGCTATTCTGCACAGGTAGAACCATCGAACAGGATGAGTGAAATCTTAGTAGTTCTATGTCATTAGAGGCCACAAGTATTCACACTAAAAATGTAATAAATACCCTCAAAGCTTGAAAGGGAAATGGAAATGTTGCACTTGCAAATGCCTCTGACTTTTGTTATCATCATATTTGTACAATCCAGGCTTCCTAGGAACACTTTTGCTGTGTACCAATAACTTTTCCTTTAAGCCAGAAGAATAATCCTCTCTCTGGAAAACCATGTCTGGAATCTGCAGTGAAAATGTATTCCATATTATTGAAATGGGATGTTTGTGGGATGAGGGGCTCCCCTCCCGCTCATATAAAGTCGAGCATGTGATCTACAAATGAAGTATAAATGGCAATAAATAAAAGGAATATTATGATCATGTCACTTTACCACAACTATCCAGCCTTTATTTAGTTCAGAAATAATCACTTCTAAACCCAAGCTCATAAAACGCACTGACAAATTTCTTTTGTCATTATTGTTCTTCTTATATATTTATTTTTATTACGGCAGGCCCTCAGAGCCTTGATCTTTTTGTTATACCCTTAACAAAAGAACAGTCATGCCCCAAGGAACTGATAGTCTATGTTATTTCTAACAGATAGACACCAAACAAACAATACAAAGTTTCAAAGATTTCTTTTTTCAAGTTTCCTACTCATTGTTAATGTTTGAATACACACTTAACATTTACTTACACATTTACTAAAAGCTTAGTTCTGTTGTCAGCGTGAATAAAGGCATTGTTAACTGCAAGTGCTGACTCGAAGCAAAGTGCACAATGTGGATGTGAGATTGACATCGACACAGAGGCGGCTGTGGCAGCAGAAAGGGAATATTTTGAGTTATCTTTTGTATGCCAGGAAACCAGGGCACTGCTACCCATCAGCTGGAAAGCGCGGTGCGGGGCAGGACCTGGGAAGGGACTTGTACTGGGGATATGCTATAAATGACATTGAAGGTGCCTCCAGTGTTGCCTGAGCTGCACAGAGACCTTCTGCAGAGCACCCTTAAAAGGAGTCCAGCGAGCCCATGAACTCAGTGCACTTCACAGAACATGCAATACTGTTTGCGTTTGCTTCCTCCAAGTAGAATACCTATACATAAACCAGGATCACTAAAAGTACTCACAGTGCAAAGTTTTAACAGAGAAAAACACCCCTTTGCTCTTTTCCACAGCACTGAAATACTGTACTCTCAAATAATTTACAGGATAAAATTGCTATTGAGATAAGAGGACTACTTATGATAGATCTTGAACATTGTTTTGAAGTGATGCCAGGCATTAACTTTAAAGTCTTAGAGCTATAAGACTATTACATGTTCTCATGCCAAAAAATGTAACCAGACCCAAGCATGAACTTCAAGTCTGCCCAGGGACTTTCATGCTATCACTGCTTCTGAGAAATGTTGAAATCCAGGCTTGGAATATGTAACCGGTCTTCAATAGTCAACAACTCTTGACGTATTAGGAATTTGCATTAATATAATGAAATATATGTGAGAATTGGAGGCTTTTTGTTTTCTTTTTGTACATCTAATTTTATAAGGGAAAACTCATGCATGCTTCGATTTAAAACCTAAAATGATCAGGTCATGCAATGTAGGAATGTAATAGAGATCAGGGATGTTCCACGTATCACGGAGATCACCAAAGACCCAATTAGTCTGACACAAGTCCTGCCATGACTCCAGACATAATGAGTACTGGACGACTCACAGGAACATTCGGAGAGCACGTTTTGGATGAACTGCAACGTGTGACCCGTCTTCTCCTGCTGTTTCCACACGATCAGTCCAAATACCTTGGCATAGTGAAAAATAAGGAGGGAGGAAACCTCACTACACATCAGTCGCCCTACTCGGACTCCCTCCTTGTGCTCAAAAGCAAACTTCACTACTTCACAGGACTCTGAAGATGGTCAAGAGGTAACACATATATATAGGGATGTATAAGTGTATATGTATGTACAAACTTCGCTCAGGGAACAGATTTATATCACGCTCCACCACACAAACCTGCAAGTACTGAATACAAAATAGGATCTCAAATTTTCTTGGTAAAGAAAGCAACCACATGGAGGTAAAGAAGAGAACTGGGCACTGCCATTTTCTCCCTTAATTTCTCTATTTTACTTTCCTTATTTACAGCAGAAGAACATACACAGAGCATAAAATGAGAGGTTCCTTTAAATGTTAAAGTAACTGAATTTGTGAAAGTCAGATAACAGAGTTTTTGTTAGATCCACCTACTCCAGATAGCGTTTACCAGCATATCAAGTCTTATAATTATCCATTCACCAACTGTCCAAACCAGAACACACTGAATGACTTTACAGACTTTTCCAATCACATCCTAACTGGTTGTTGGTATGTTTTGTATTGGGATGGCAGAAAAAAAGACTGACTCCTCTGATCAATCATGAATTCCTCCCGCTTGACTCTTTTTGGCCTGTTGCTGTGTGCACACCAGCTCTCCCACTGGTCACTCTGTAGAATCTAGTTTTGCAGATAAAGGATGTTCCACGAGTAATTAATATTAATTTGGGTATTTCAGCTTTCCTATGAGTATGAGGACAAAAGAGTAAAACATCAGGATTTGATCGAATCCATGCCAAAAGAGAAAGTAACATCAAATCTCATGGTTGCTGTACATTCCTGCATACAATTAGCTCTGAAAATAGTAATTAGAAGTAAGCAAGTTTGTTGCCCACAGTTTTCATTTCCTAGGAGGAATCATGAGGAATGTCATGAATAAAGAGCTCTTTTGAAGATCACACCGAAATTTCCCTCTGTTGTCAAAAAGCTTCATATGCAGTGGCCAGAGCCTGAGCATTGATAGCTGCTTCTGAAGCTACCCAGTACCCTCAAATCTTTTTCTGTATCTAACAGAGAAGCTTTTGTCACATGGAACACTCTAAAACCAGGAGATAACTTACCCCAGGTACACACAGAACATGTCTTTTGTAAAATTAATGGGTTTGGTTTTGTTTAGAAAAGCAGTTTTTATTTTACAGCTTCAAAGTGTCGGATTTTGCACAAAGAAAACAGAATTTATGTTTAAGAACTGTAGAGATGAAGAAAAAGACCTTAAAAATACAACAAAACCCAACCAGGACAATTTTTAAGTGGCGGAAGCTTTTTTCCCCTGAAAGGAAAACAAAGCCTAACTGCTGTAGTTAAATTTTTCCAGGTACAGATTTAATCCCTGTCCCTTGGCTTTGCTGAGCTGACTTGCATCACTGTTATAGAGACAGTATTTTTCAGTTCAACTGGCTTTCAAATGCCATGTAAACATGTTTGCTGTTGAATGTCTACACCATACCTGACCTTGGAAGTGCTTTGTGTTGGCCTGAGAACAAAGAAATGAAATGTTTTGCTTTCCAGCCCAGATATCCTACACTTTGAAAAGCACTTAAAAATGTAAATGAGATAATAAGCTCGACTGCAACAATGTGGTTGAATTACAGCCATATAAAAGGAACACTCAGTTCATTTATTTATAAAAATGGAAAGGATCCTAAAATAAATTCATATTGGAAATGATTTGGTCACATACAACATTCAGAGGCACGAGAAGGACAGAAGAGAAAAGTAATGGCTTTGAGAATACATCGCTGAAATATTACAGTCAGATTTTGGGACCTCAACTGGAGCTGGTGGACGAGCCCATCACTGTGTCTATGATACAGGAAACATTTGGGTATCAGCTGATATGGAAGGAGAAAGGAACATCTGAACCACGTTTCTAGGTAGGCACTTCTTTTTTTCCTATTATTTTATTGTGGCTTCATTATCACCAGGAAAATGTTGAATGAAGTTTACTTCAATCCCAACTCTGCTCATGGTAACAGAGAACTTCTGGAGACAAGAGAGCAGCACATGGGGAGACAGTGTGGGGTTTGGCCTGAGCAGCTCGCAGAGATGGGCTGATGCATGAGAGCAGAGGAATTCAGTCTGACTTGTGGGTGCCAGGCTGAGGCTGCAGAAGAGGGGTCTCTAAAAACGAAACAACTTGTAAAGCATATAGTTTTAACAAGGAATCACAGAGAGACACAAAGGAATGCTGCCAGCATCACACAGTCCTTTTTCAAGGCAGGAGTAAATTTCTGGCATTAGTTTCAGGGCTTTAATCTATATCAACTAAAAGCTGGTAGAGAAGAGTTCTAGGAATCACATAAGCAAGTATGACATGGGAATATATGAAGGATTTAGTCTTTAATATATGAAAACTGATTTGATTATCCTTTGACCACAGGATACTTTCAAAAATAAGCGTTCGATTTCCTGAAATAAAATTAATTTCTGGGAGAATTGCATAAACAAGTAATTATTATTTTGAATGGATTATTACGATGGAAATACTGTATTTACAAAGGTGGGATGTTTTGCTTCCTCAACCTGAAATAACTTCCTACTTTTGGTGTGCTCCTGCGAGCAGACAGGGCTTGATTCCTGCTCCCACGCCACCAATGGCAAGTTTGGGATCACAATGATTTGTCTCTCTAATACCAAGCATTGAATAAATAACAATTAGAAAGAAAATCATCTAAAAATGTTAAATAACAATGTATTTTGAAACACAAAGTGTCAGTAGGGAAGTCACCGCTCATCCTGATCAAATGATGCCAGATAATGGCAGAGTCTTTTGTGATACACATATGTAATTCTTATTAGCTGTGCCAGAATACAGCTGGAATCCTGTATCAAGAAAAGACCTCACTATTTATGACCAGTGCAGAGTAATACTGTAACTAAAGGTAGTAATAGTTGGCA